GGATCTCACCTTATTAAAAAGCTTTTGCACAGCAAAAGAAACCATGAAGACAGTGAAGAGACAACCCACAGAGTGAGAAAAAATTTTTGCCTCAGAGAAAAGACTAACAGCTAGAATATATAAAGGTCTTTTAAAAAAAAAAAAAAAGACCTCCCCAAATTTAAAGATCCAATCCAAAAATCAGCCCCTGAAATGACTAGACACTTCTCAGATGAAGAAATAGAAATGGCAAATAAATATATGAAAAAATGTTCAACTTTACTGGTTATTCGAGAGTTGCAAATTAAAGCAACACTGAGATTCCATTTCAACCCAGAAAGAGTGGCTATTTTCAAGAAGTCAACCGATAACAAATGCTGGAGGGGCTGTGGGGAAAAAGGAACCCTTCTCCACTGTTGGTGGGAGTGTAGACTGGTGCAACCACTGTGGACAACTAGGGTTAGCGGTCCCATTTGACCCAGCTATTTCCCTTCTTGGTATCTTCCTGATAGAATTAAAAGCATCGTACCAGAGCAATATATGCACACCCACGTTTATAGCAGCACAGTTTGTAATAGCTAAATCTTGGAAACAGCCTAGATGCCCATCAACCAATGAATGGATAAAGAAAATGTGATTTTTTTTCTACAACAGAATATTGCTCTGCCATGAAGGATAAACTTGATTGCCATTTATACTTCCACTGTGTCCATTCTCCTGCTTGATTCTTAAAAACATAAAAAGCCATATGTACGTACATTCCACTAAATTCAAAGTATTTCTTCCGTATTGAATTCTCCCAGGGACCTCAGTCACTGCTGTCCTTCTCTATATTTTACCATCTAAATAGTTGTTTCAGCTGGGTTTTTTTTTTTTTTTGGTTTCCCTTATTTCTTGGAAATTTTTTACTGTCTTAATCTGTAGGTTTTGTCTTCTTTTAACATTTTGTCTTGATTTGATCTATTCTGTGTTATGTACAGTTTTAGTTAAGGCTGTTTCACAAGTTACTGAAAGTGAGGCTTCTTCTCTGCTTTAAATTATTTTTGCTATTTTCAGTTGATAAGAAGGCACTAGAAATACCACTGGTGTGCCATCCTCAATGGGACAAATTAATTGGATTAGGCAATAAAATGCAAATTTTCACTAGATATCTACCACTGTTGGCTCAGCTGTTGAAAAGAACACAGAAATGTAACACAAACTTGGGAAAGTTATGATAACTCTCTTGACACAGTAGTTTGAATCAGATGTAGATCCAAGTTCTCACTGCATTAAAAGTTTAGTTCGGGTACTGACTGCTGAGGTCTCAAATGGGAAGGAGAGAATGAATGAAACCGGGGTTGGGAATGGCAGATACTTGAATAGATGCTGTAATGGCATTCTGAATGTGAAACATAGAATGAAACTTCGGTTATTAATTGTCCTCCATTGTTTTTCCATCCGACCTCTTGGGGATCCCTTAAAATGAATGTTGACATTAAGAGTAAACAGGATTTTTAAAAATCAGCAGGCTCAACCTGGATTTAGGAATGTGTTCTAGTCATCTTTTAAACTATGGAATGCTGTGATTGAAACTGTATTTAAGGAAAACTTCTAGCAAATATACTGAGGGATTTAATTTTATCTCACCTGGACCTGGCAAGTCTCTATTTATACCAAGTATCATAACGGGTGTAGTTATGTACAGAGCGCTGTAGAGTACATTTTCCACTGGAAGAGAGTTTGGTCTGGAGGAATGAAGGAGCTGATTTTGAAAAAAATCTAAGTAAAATTTCTATGCTAGAGATGATTTCTGTGTGGGTTGTTGTAGTGCATTTGCTCTCAGTTGCTAGTTAGGTTCTACCATAGTAATGGATTTAGTGTATCATGATTTCACTAACTAAAGTAGATTCTGTGATTTGTTGGAGATATTTAAAAGTCTTATCTCAAATCACTGGAATCCTGTTGTATTGTACAAATAGCTTAATTTTAAAGAAGCAGCATTTTATGTTCCATATTTCAGTATTTTCATCCTTCTGAGTCTGGTTTCTGTCCACTTTCCTGATGGCTGATCTTTTTTCCACTCCATTTTTACTGCCTCTGTGTCTTCTCCTAATCATAGCTGAGCAATCTTTCAGTCTCTAAGATTATTTTATCCCCTTGTCATGTGACACTAGTTATATTCTCGGCATTTTGCTCTGTAGTTGTTTTCATGTCAGACTTGCCTAATCAATTAGAGTTATAGGCTACTTGAAAACAAAAAATGGTGTAACATTTTATTTATTTATGCGTCCTATGTTACTCCAAAAGATGACTTGAACATGTTTTTCTTATACTACAGTATTTTGACATTTGCTGAGGCAGTAGACATAAATTAAAAAGGGTCAGTATTTTATGAACTAAAAACATGCATGATCAACACAGCAGTTTTTGTTGTTTTTTTTTTATTTATGATTTTTGTACATTTGAAAATTCTACAAAAACAAATCCTATTTCTCATATCAACTTTATAGGAAAAAAGAACATCAAGTTGAGACTCTTCTGGTCAGTGAGCAAGTGTTGACACAGAATATGTTAGATATACATCAAACCGTTTTTCTGTAAGCATGTGCATATTGCCTCTTAAGAGTGAAATGTCTTCAATAAGAATTTTCCATAAGGTGTTAATATCTGTGATAGTGGGAATGTATATTCTACGAAAGAACAGCCACTATGGTCCTAGGGCTCATTCTTCCTCAGCAGCTGTGTCCAGCTGGTGGTCCACACTCCCTCCTACTTCTTCAGTCAATGGAAACATTTAGGTCAATATTGATATAAAACTTCATGAACTTTTCTTCTCTTTCAGCTTTGGTTTGCCTTTGTTAATGGATTTTCTGGGCAGATTTTATTTGAACGTTGGTGCATCGGCTTGTACAATGTGGTGAGTATTCTCCCTGTTGCTGATAGCGTGCAGAACTTCGGGGACATTCCTTCACTGTTTATGTCTGCAAAGTGTATCTGAGTCAGTCATCTGTGTACTTAGCGGCAGCACAAATACCTCTTTAGGGCCTTTGTTGCTGCAACACATCCTGTGAAAGCCCAGCTCCCCACACATGGTTTCAATCACGACACATCTTTCTTGAATAACCCCATGAAATTATTAACCCATATATCTTGGTAATAGACCCTCGTCACCCCTCACTAAATACCTACGCAATAATTTCATGTTTTAAGCTATAGTTCAGTTTTCTGAGCTACCTCTAAAGTTGCTCCACTTCATCATTTTACTTCTGAGTTCTTAAATACAGATCTGAATGTACAATATATATGATCTAGTGTCCCTTCTGCCCTCCTTCAGAGTATCCGTCCTTAGAGAAGAGTGCTTTCCTCTATGGTTAGTGTGCAAACAGTGAATTTTGATTTTCACCACCCATGAAGAATGGTAGTCAGCCTCTTTCCTATTTTTTTTTATGATTTAAAGATTTTTTTATTACTTGACAGTGATGAATTCAAAAGCTACAAATACGTATAAACTATAAGCTGAGATGACTCAGTAGCTGCCTAGCGTGGTTCTCCTCCTGTCTCTTAAGTTGCTCTGTCCCCCTTGCTTTGGATCATCACCCTGATATTCTGGGCTCTGTGTGAGTTTACCTTTTGAAGCAGCCATCACAAATACCTGCAGATGGAAGTTATCCAGTGTGTGTTGCAATCAGGGTCTGCAGAAAAAACCAATTTTTTTCTGGACACATAATTTATAGGATTATTTTACATTAGTAACCCAGAGAGTCATACACAAAGAAAGTGCAGGAAATCTATCCACACACTAAAGACCCAAAGAACCGAGCTGAGGGCCTGGATCCCATGACAATGTCCCACATGAGTCCAACTGGAGGCCAAGGGCCCATGACAATGTCTCACGCAGGCCCGTTTCATGTACGTGGGCTGGGAAAGCCCAAAGGTCAGTGGTGGAAGCTAGGAAGTCTGTGCCAGCGGGATGAAGGATCTGTGCTAGCAGGCTGACGGATCTGCACTGGAGCCAGGAAGTGACACTGAAAGACCAGAGCTCCCCTGAACGATATCATAGCCATCCTCATGTGCCAATCCGCTCTAGAGAACTAACTATCTGCAGTGAGAACTACATTACCTACGTGAATCACTTTGGAGGGTGAAACCCTCTAACTCAGTCACCTCTTACTGGACCCCACCTCGTCAAGGTTCTGCACTTTAGCACTGCTGCACTGAGAACCGTGCTTCCGCCATGTCAGCCTCTAAGGGGCACACTCAACCCGCACCCCGACCAGACTGGGAAGTTTCCTCATGGAAGCTGTTTGGGGAGTTTTTGTATGAAACCAGTTAAAATTGAGAGGACTGTTGCAGACAGAGTATAAAGAACTGTGCATCTTTTACTCAGAGTCATCAGTTATGAGCATTTTTCCCTATTTGCATTTGCTCTGTACCTTCATGCACCATACGCACACACACACACACACACAATTTCTAAACCAAGTAAGAGTGTGTTACAGATACAATGCCCTTTTATTGCTTAATACTTTAGTGCCTGTTTGCTAAGATCTTTTCTTGTATATTCAGAGTGTAATAATCAAATGAGAAAAATTTTAATGTGGATACAATGCTATTCTCTAATCCATATTAGTCCAATCCCAAGATTGCCGGCAGTGTCTTATTTATCAATATGTTTCCAGTCCATGGCCATCCCAGAGACTGAGTGCAAAGGGCAGCTTGTGACGTGGAAAGCATTTGCTGGGAACGTTCTCTTCTGGGCTGGATTCTCCTTTGTTATTTTCTCTCAGCAGTATTTCTCTTCTACCTTTTCTTTTTCTGTGATTCTTTTTTAGCTTTGATTCCCCAGGGCAGATAAAGTAGCAAGTCACTGGTTTTTAATTTACTGTTCCTAGGTTAAGTAACATTAAATCAGACTTGGAAATTTTGCCTGTCCCCCAACCCTCAGCTGATACCATCATGTTGTATTCTCATAACATCAGTTGTCCTTATCTGTGATTTTATTTCCCAAGATTTCAGTCATCCACAGCCAACTATGCTCTGACAATATTAAATGGAAAATTCTGGAAGTAAGTTATGTTTAACTTTTAACATAGCATATTATTGTAATTGTTCACTTTAGAAGTTTTTGCATTAACCTCTTACTCTGCCTGCTTTATAGGTGACACTTTATTATGGATATGTATGTATAGGGGGAAAAAAAGCAGCATACATAGAGTTTGGTGCTATCTGAGATTTTAGGCATCTTCCTGGGAAGGGACTATTATAGGTCTGACTCACATTTCTGTATCATTTAATTTTGGGGGAAGAATGAGACTAGAAGGCCACCCAAGAACAAAAGCTACCAGTATCAGAAGGATTTCAGCTAAATTTTATACATACTGTGAGTGAGGGGACATCTCTAATGTTATTGAAACTGTTTCAGGAAATCTTGTCAGGACAGCATGATTTGAAGAAGAAATCCTCACTTACAAACATAAAAATTTTAAAGAAATTATCAACTAGTGGAGTTTAACAGAGTGTTAAAAGAATAAAGTGTCTGACCAAGTATAGTTTACTTCAGGAACACAGAACATTCAAAATAAAAAATAAACCCTTTCTAAATATGACTATATCAACAAAACAAAGAAAAATAGGATCCCGTCCCTGGAGGAAGTGGAAGAGTGGGTAAGAGCGTACATGAATATGATCAAAATACATTATACACATTGCATCAGCCCCACCCCAGAATAAATCGTGAAGCTCGGGGAGGATGGGGAGGAGATGATGGAAGTACGTTACGTGCATGTACAAATCTGTCAAAATGAAAACCATTAGTCTGTGTAACCACCGATAGGTACTAATAAAAATATGGAGAAAAGAAACAAAAATGGCCAAAAAGTGTTTAAAGCAATTCAGCTACCATTCCCAAAATAAGAACCCTAAAAGATAAAAATAGAAAGAAACCAATTGAGTATATTTAGACTATTTATAAAAGTCAGTAGCATGTTGCCATAAATGTTAAACTCCTAACACTATTTTGTCCTGAGTAAGAAACCAGTCAGGTGATAGCACGTCAGTTAGGCTGTCGTTACAGTATAATTCTGCATTATTCTTTTTCTCCCATTTAATTCTGTCTTTTTTGTTTTTTCTATTATTCTTTGACTTACAGTAAGTGCCAAAAAAGATTAAATAACTACTAATGTTGAAAAAACAACAATCACTGTTTATTCTTGTACAAATACGCATACAAAAATATGGTCACAGCCAGGCATGGTGGCACACGCTTGTAATCCCAGCACTCGGAAGGCTGAGGCAGGAGGATCGCTGTGAGTTCCAGTGGGCTGCATAGTGAGTTCATAGTTCTGTGGGCTACGTAGTGAGTTCAAGGTTAGCCTGAACTGTACAGCGAGGCCCTGTCTCAAAAAAAAATATGGTCATGTACAAACATCTATATAAAACTGTTTGTCTAGAAAATTTGAAAGAGAAATAATAGAATTATAAGGAATTTGATAAAATAACCAGATAAATGATAGATTTGTAAAAATCAATAGCTTTTTCTATTCTAATAATCAATAGCTTTATTTTTTATTTTTTACTCTAGAAATGGGCACCTAGAGGTACAAAAGAAGTAATAGTTCCTTTCAAAATAAGTTATGTAGTGCATAGATATAATTTTATACTACCTAGCTGAAAAAATGTCAACATGTCATTGAAGGATATAAAAGGTTTGAACAAATAAGCATCTATTTTCTTATCTAAGAAGTTTTAGTACCATTAAAGAAATAGCTCTTCTAAAATTTAATATATAAATTTGCTATTTCAAAAGAATCCCAACAGGTACTGGAGAGAGAAGTACCTAAAATTATGCATCATATAGATGGAATTAATAACTACCTGAGAATAAACATGGAAAGCGTGTTTAGAAAAGATTACATGGGTAGACTTATCTTTACTAAATATCAAACTGTACCCCAAAGATACCACAAATAAATCAGTCTTTCACTGACATAAAGTTAGGCAAGTTGGAGACTCTAGAACTAGATCCTAGTTCTAAATCTTAGGACTATAAGGATTTATAAAGCTAAGTGGTAATATTTCAACCAAGGGGAAAAAGTCTTGAGTACTTAATTGTATTCTATCAACTGGAAAAAATGGATTCCTATCTCATACTATATAGAAAAATAAAATCTAGATAGATTAAAGATTTAAAAGTGAATAGTAAAACCTGAAGAATTCCCCCAATATACTCCTAAAACTGCATGTTAAGTTCTAGGACAGAGAGACTTCCGTAACCACAATTGGACACTTGAAAGCTGTTATTGACCATTTAAAATTTAAGAGCGTTTTAGCCACTCGAATTGATGCATGCCTGTAATCCCAGCACTCTGGGAAGCTGAGGGGGGAGCATAGCAAGTTTAAGCCCAGTCTGGGCAGCTGAGCAATTTAGTGAGATTTTGTAGCATAAAAACCAAGTTGTGATGTATGTTACTCAGAGAAATCTCAGAAAAGGAGATAAGCCATTAAAAGAAAATGGATATGACTGGACTAGATACACCACAGATATTTCATCTGCAAATCCAGATGACCAACAAATGTATAGAAACATGCTCCAGCACACGGGTAATCAGGGAAATGTAAATTGTTTAAGGTAAGAGTATCTTTAATTTTCAGATTGGGGAATATTAAAAGACCAGTATAACCACTGCTGATAGAGAAGCAGGTTACTGTTGTCCTTAGTAAGTGGAGACATAAATGATTGGAACATGGAATTAAAACTAAATGTTTCTTTTAACCCAATGGCCCTACTCCCGGGGCTCCTTCCCATGGAAGTACTAAAAGAAAAGCATATATGGTATAATACAGATGTTTATCACATGTTTATAGTATCAAAGAATTGGAAACAAAATGGATGCCTGTCAGTGGGCAAAATGGCTGAAAAAGTATGGTACATCCATGTTACGAATTATTATGCAAGCATTAAGAAGACCATATTAGTGTCAAACCCAAGAGACTCAGAGGGCTTTCCACAAAGCATTGTTTACTAAGAAAAGTATGATGAAGAAAAGTGTGTGGAATAGCCCCTTTTTGTAAAATCATGATCTCCAACCAGTCTAGATACGTGTGTGCAGTATGCCTCAGGATGAAAGCTAGGATATGGAGACGTGCTGCTGGCACAGCGATGAAGGGTGGGGAAGATTTCAAGTCGAGAGAAGAAGAAAGTAGAGTTAAAAGGTGAAAGAAAAGGGGCTAGGGATTTAGCTCAGCGGCACAGCGCTTGCCTGGCAAGCACGAGATCGTGAGTTCGATTCCCGGTTCTGGAAAAAAAACAATAACAACAAAAACACAGCTATGTGCAAATAATGGTAGTGATGGTATGTGCTTAGAAAACATGCAGAGCTTCTCAGATGTGTGTTCGGAGCACCTTCATCTAGTCATAAAACTGCTTTTGTTACTGCAAGAGAAGAGAGTGCGACCGTTCTGGATCTTCTCCTTGAAGCCCATGACACATTGAAATCCCAGGGCTGCTTTCCATCTGCTCTCACCTGGAGGAAGAGCTTGAGAGTTCAGCCTTACCACACCTCTGATTGCGTGATCCTGACAGGCTTGTGGGAGGCGCTTTTCTCTGGCCAGGTACTCACTCTCCAAATAACTGGGCTCCAGGATCCTTGCAGAGTTGCGTGTCTGATTCCGCGTCTAAAGCACTTCCTGGTTGTGTGGGTAGGGACTCAGCTGACACTGATGCTAAGCAGTGAGTGACCTCTCCTCTGTGAGCCATGCCAGAACCAACTAGGAGAATGACTCGGGGCCACAACGTGTCCCGACTGAAATCTTTCAGATCTCCTCGTCTGCACCTGGATCCATCTTTCCAGTACACAATGTGGATATCGCACCCCCCAGAGAGTACAAGGAGAAGTACCATCTGCCCAAGAACCCCAAGTGCCAGGAGTTGTTTGTTCTCCCTGCTGTCCTCAGCTTACACCAGGCCCACCACCGGCCGCTGTTCTGTGTGTCTTACAGGTTCCCCCTAGTGCGCTCCTGGATGCCTTCAAGCTCTGTAAGGAGCGCTCTGCTCAAGGGAAGGCTTCCCGGGGGAGCCCTCATCCTGACAAATCCCTGAACATCCTGTCCAGTCCTACAGTTCAGGACTGTGCAGGTCGCATACGCACCAACGCAAGAATCATTTCTTGGCTCTTCGTGTCCTTCTCCATCCCCTCCCTGCCCCCAGCAGTGAGAAATTCTGCAGAGCCTATGTTTTATGTGTTTATCTGTGCATCTGTTGCCCTGTCTCCTCTCCCCGTGTCTGCAGTAGACAGAGTTCTGGAAGTCAGAGCCTGCTTCCTCTGCTTTCTTGTTCTGTTTTTATACCTCTATTCCTAGAGCTTGCCGCAATATCTGTCCCATAACTCATTCACAATAAATGTCTTTGGATGAATAAATGGATGGGGAACCTTGCGCTTCCTGAAATTTGAGGATAAAACAGGATGGGAAGTTGTAAAATGGTGCCTCAGCCCACACTAACAGAAAATCTGACACTTCCCAGAGCTGACCGTGTGGGATTCTTCATCTCTGGCACCCTACAAAGGAAGGTAGCTGTAATTTCACAAGGTTTCTTGGCTCATCACATATTTATGTTTTTAGCGCTCAGTGTATTCATTTTACACAGATTAACAGTAATAAAGTGATCTTTCATTTATTTTCTTTGTTTGGAGGGTGTCAGGGGAGTGATGAATCCCGGAGTCTCAGGTTTGGACTTGACTGGAAGTTAAGTCATCGTTCCAGAGAGCTGAAACACAGTTGCTGTGTACCTCGGAAGGGCCGCTCTTAATGGCTCTTTGTCTTCACACAGATTTTCACCGCGTTGCCACCCTTCACTCTGGGAATCTTTGAGCGGTCTTGCACTCAGGAGAGCATGCTCAGGTTTCCACAGCTCTACAAAATCACCCAGAACGCCGAAGGCTTCAACACAAAGGTAAACAGGGCAGTTACAGGGCTGCCATCTCAAGGACGCAGCCCTGCCCCTGGACTCAGCTCCTGTCACCTGCCTGTGAGACCCTGGGTGCTTGAGAGAGGACACTGGAGCAGCAGTGAGGCCCCCAGTGGCCCTCAAGGAGCCCAGTGCACTAGAGGTGCCTCTCTGCGGTAGATCCATGTCTCGCGAGCCTTTGCGTCCCTGTTGGCTGACTCCCTGAGTGTGGGTGGCAGCCCCCAAGGCTTTAGGATCAGCCTCACGTGACTCTACAGCACTGAATCAAGCCGGCCAGAAGCTTGCCCAAGTGTTGCTGGGTTTTTCATTTTAAATAAAATGCTTTTTAGCTAGTTAATAAGATTGACCTGATACAAACACAGGCATAGCGTCCCTCATTGGTGTTTTGTTTTGTTTTGAATTGATTTCTTTTCCCAGAGTGGAGAATCAGAAGAAAGAACCCATCTAGGTACAGGTTGGGCATCCCATATCTGAAATGCTTGGGACCAGAAGTGTTTCAGGTTTTAGAGTTTTGGGGGTTTTGCAATATTTGCTTATATACAACGAGATATTTTGGGACAGTATCTAAGTCCAAATGCAAAATTCATTTATGTTTCATATACACACACCTTGGAATAATTTTATATAGTATTTTTAATAATTTTGTGCATGAAACAAACTTTCATGGTGTGGGAATTTCACATCATTGCCCAAAAGCTTTCAGACTTTGGAGCACTTTGGATTTGGGATTTTCGGGTAATGGATGCTCAGCCTATATGGATAATTACTAGAAGAACCAAGCAGGGGTTTGGGTTGGTGTGAGGGGGCTCCAGTGGTCTCAGAGGTCAAGTAAGGCCTGTTGCACAGCCTACAGTCTCACTAAGAGCAGCAGAGTAGTTGAGTGCTGCTTGCCCAAGAGCAAGATGTGCACCCCACTTGCAGAGGAGGGGAGATGGCCACATTTCTGTGCAGGAGGAGGTCAGGAAGTTGAACCAGAGGTCCGTTGCCCAGCTTGGTTACACTGCTGGGTGCTGGTTGTAGTCACCATTTGCATGAGCAGAGCTGTTGGGCTTTGGTAAAGAGAACATAGCCAGCCTCCTCTGTAGGCCTCAGGGTGAGAACCCCCAGCAGAGCCTGTGGTTCTGAGCCCGATGTCTAGTTACTCTTCACAGCTGGCTCACACTTGGGCAAGCTTAAGAGACATGTCTCACACTGAGGAAAAATAAAAGACACCCTCTTGATTTTACTGTCTTCCAGGTACAAAGATACTTACGTGACTAATTCTATTGGTATTTGTTTACTATGATTCTATTAATGGGAAAATATGAGGTGTTTCATCTGTATTGTTTACGTAAATCTATTTTCTACTTGGTTTTCAATCAAAGGCCTTTTGAGGTAGGCAGTAAGTAGGAACAGACTTGTGTCAGATTTCCACAGCTCTACAGAATGTCCTGGAACTGACTATGCCCTGACACTTTGTTGTAGGCACCTTCAAGACTTTTATTTGTTTGTTGTTGTTTGCGTATTTAATTTGTTCTTGATAGAAAGAGCAGGGAAAGAGGAGGGCAAAAATGAACACAAAATGGGGGGAAATTCACATTGTCTTCTTATACTGTTTTTTGGTATTTTCTGTTGTTCTACCTTTACTTAGGACCATGTGACGGTTTCCAGAACAAGTTTAGATTTTTAAATAAATTTGATCTGAATTTCACAGTTCTGTCATCTCAGCACTTGCAAAGATGACCAAAGGAGCTGGTCCAGCTCAGGGGCAGAGCCCTTGCTTGGCATGTGAGCAGCCCTGGGCTCAACCTCCAGCTTTACACAAAGACGAAAAGAAAAGATGTTTGAATTGCATTAATAAAACTACGGTTTAGAATAAATTAAACTTTATATTCTTTTAAGTGAAATAATTTTTTAAAATGTGCATTTATTAATCAAAAAACTCAAATATGAAAGAAGAGCTGAATGGAAGGGATTTTTAAGGTGTAAAAGAGTTAGAATGCCGCATAAGAATCGGTTGTTGTTTGCTTGTTTAATTTGTTTTTGATAGAGAAGTCAGGGAAAGAATAGCGCAAAAATGAAAATTTAAACTGGGGAAAAAATCACACAGTCTTCTAATACTGGTTTTTTTTTTTGTATTTTCTGTTTTTAACTCCTTCAAAAAGAACACATTAATAGTTTGAGCTAATTCTCGTCCTGTGGATGGCTGTGAAGTGTGACCTGTCCTGTGACAGTCCAGAGAACAGGTTGCAGCTCACTTTCCAGTTTGGACGATTGTGTGTCCGTGTGCATACGAATGGATATATATTTAAGTCTGTGTAGTAAAGTAATGTTATCCAGAGAGAGTGCAGTCATCTGTATGTAAATAGGAAGAAATGGGTGTTTCTAGGGACTTTTTAAAATGTGAAACTAACATGCTTCTCATGGAACCGCACAGCCGGAGCCAGGAGCCCGCACAATGCGGCACTTGTTGTGAGTTGCACACAGAGGGCGAGCGTTCTGGCAGTGCTGACTCCCTCGGTTTGTTTTCCCGCAGGTTTTCTGGGGTCACTGCATCAACGCCTTGGTCCACTCCCTCATCCTCTTCTGGTTTCCCATGAAAGCCCTGGAACATGGTAATAACTTCATGATTTCAACTGTCAGCAAGTAGCTTCGCATTTCCCCTGCTGCCAGCAGGGCCACAATTTTTTCCCCCATTCCACACAAGAGGCGTAAGAATACATGTTAGAAGAAAACAGACCTGAAACCAAATGAGAGCTGGCCCCAGGTTTACAGCATGTAGTTTTCATCAGTCTGGCATCAGTAACCCTTCTTGAGCTCTTTTTGGTTGACGAGATGGCTTAAGTAGTAGGAATTCTAAACATGGTTTGTGATAACTATTTGAGTCGTTGGGAAGAATCAAGCTACACTGTTAGGAAGCGCAAATGCCTCTTGCCCTTGAGTTTGAAGTTTGTGTAATTATTTGAGCTTTTATTTTCCAAGACTTCCATACCGATAACGCAGAATACTTAATGTAAGTGCAGTCTCATTGCTTGTTTTCCGAGAGCTGCCTTTCCTTCGCACATGCCTTTTGAAGGTACAGTTTGTTTGAGGACTGCTTCTCCAGATTTGGCTTCATTCCTTTTCCAAAAGATGCACGAAGATGAGTGAGAATGTGACAACCTGTAGTTGCTCACACTTCTTAGTACATCCAAAAACGTCACCAAGTCAAGGGAATGAACTATTTTGAGTCTCAAAAAAGTGAAAATGTATCTAGCGATTGTTAACCTTTCATCCCTGTCAAATAGTAGTAATCCTCCTGGGAAAAATTATTCCAGATGTTTACTAGACAAGGCCTTTGACTATTCATAGAACCAAAGAATAGGAAGTTTCCAAGTGTCTTTGTTTGATGCTTTATGCAGAAGTGATTCATCCTTTGCTGATATTCTTTAACCTGTGGAACTCTGACAGGAAAGTGCACATGCACGCTCTTGTGCCTTCTGCCCTATTCTTTCACTTTCTTCAGAACTCCTTTTCTCTCTAGGGTCCTGAGGTCTTTAGACGAGAAAATAAATTTTTTTGCTTGTAGAAACATCCTCCCAAAGGGGCAGTCTAGTGAATTCATGCTCTTATTGCTCAAAGGCTTGTACGTGCTTCATCTTGACTCACGGTGGCTTTCGTTTGTTTGAAATGGTTTTGTAAGCACAGGTTTGCAATTCCAAGAGCACTGGGTGTGGTTCTGTCCATGAAGCTGCGACAGTGGGTGGTAGAAGTGGCCATGACCATGGCAGCATGGACTAGTGAGGGAGTGTGTGTAGGGGTAAAAGAACAATTTTACAGGTGTGCTCTGAAGTCTGCGCCCAGGGTTTTGCACGTGGGAAGAGACAGTGATTTTTGGCATGGACTGGCCACAGTGACTATGTGTGGAACTCTTGTCCTACTTATCTAAGGCACTGTACTGTGTTTAAACTCAGAAGCGTCTGCCTTTAGACTTCCATTTGTTTTACAAGATGATCCTTTCCTTGCCTGCTTTAAAAGGAACAATGTGGCCCCTTTTAGTGGAGAGGGGAGCTCTCTCATCCTGAGGTTGGGGTGATGTGTTTGAATCTACAGCTTGTAGCTGATGGCAGCATTGCTGCAGTCTGCCTAGATTCCGCTATGTAAACCCGTTCATTCACCTGTAGTGGTCCATGTTTACAAGGCTTTCGACTCCCACCCATTACTAATTTTCTAATAGATATTGCCAAGTGAATTTTAAACTAGGTTCTGCCTCTCTCATCTGTGTCTTCCAAATCTTACAATTTGTGCAGCACCAATGTGATGGAATGATGGATCATTTGTTGTTGGTTTAATTGTTGTGAGTGGCACTGTTGGTTCCATTATTTCGTTTTCTTTGTTCAGACTTCAGCATAAGGCCTTTCTTTTAGCTACATTACCAACAACCTGTGAAGTAAAAGCTTTCAGGTGAAATCGTATATTGCCGTAGAAAGCCAATTTTGTTTTGTTCCGTAGTTGACTTTCTCTAACAAATTGGATGAATATTTTAAAGTTAATTTCTATATTCAGTTAATGTAAAGCAAAAATTTTACATTATTACTCATGTGCCTTATTTATTCATGTAACATTTATGTGTTCCTACTGTGGGTTCCAGACGCTGAGCAGATGTGTCAGCTAGAGCCTTGCCTTCTGAGAAGTGGTCCCCCGGTAAGGAAGATTAGATTTGTGCATGGACAACTTAGTGCAGGTAGAAAATAACTGTGTCAGCCAGGTGTGGTGGCACATACCTGTAATCCCAGCACTTGGGAGGCTGAGGCAGGAGGATTGCTGCCAGTTCAAGGCCAACATGGGCTACCTAGTGAGACCTGAACTACGTAATGAGACCTGTCTCAAAAAAACAAACAAACAGAAAAGAACTGTCTCATGTGAAATACACATAAAATGTTACTGAATACCCGAGGGTAGGGAGACGCTTTTCATTTGAATTACTGCTGGCTTCTTTGAGGGGAGGGAATTTAGGTTTAGCTGTGAAGTCCAGGTAGGATTCAGATGTAGAGAACGGGCAGTAAGAGCCAAGCAAAACGGGAGAACGGAAGGGATGTGTCTGCGTCCTTGCAGTTCTCGTATTGAACCCTGGCCCCCAAAATGATGGTGTCGGGAGATGGGGCGCTTGACAGACAATTTAATCACGAAGGAGATGCCTTTTTCTTATCAAAAGGACCCCAGAGAGCTTGTTCACTCCTTTTGCTACAGGAGAGCCCTCCGAGGAGGCGCCTTCTGTAAGGAACACCCCTCACCACGCGCACAATCCCCAGGCACCTCGATCTTGGCCACCTCAGCTTCCTGCCAGTTACAAGACACTGTCTGCAGTGTTTGTCCATGGCAACCCGAACAGACTAGCTGCCTCCCTCTGCCTTTGTGAGAGCTGTAAACCAAAGCATGCTCTGCACTTTGCCATTGCCCCTGCGTGCGCGCAGAGGGAGAGCTGACTGCCGTGTACAGGGACAGTGGCTGGGAAAGGGATAAAGAATGGGGGGCCGGGGTCAGGTCACGGACACTTTGGGGACTTTTCCTCTGTAAAGAGCTAAAGATGTGAGCACTGCTGGGGTACGCAGGGCGGTGGGAGGATTCCCTTTGCAGACCGTAGCACTGCTTTGTGGAGAAACACACAGGATTTGGCAAAAGCATGAATTATTGGGCTCTTTTTGCCGGGGGGCTTGCTGGGGAGTCAGAGGTGGAAATTAAGAAAGTTCGCAAGATTGAGAGGCCGGGGATATGTCAGCTGATTGAATTGTTTATGTGCGCTGATTTACTGTCCTAAATACAGTGAGTTCTTATTACACTCTTAAGTGTCACTTAGAAAATGTGTGCGTTCCTTTCCTAGCAGCATAGAACTGTGGAGCCGCGTTGAGACAAACTGGGCACTTTTTAAAGCAGCGGAACCCCAGCCTAACACATGAACATGTTGAGGCCTCCTCTGCCCCCTAAGTGCTGTCGGAAGCCACAGCCACCTGTCCACATCCACAGCTTTGAAGAAATCCTGCTGGCTCAGGGCTGGGCTCTCTAGAGTTCCCCCGTGATGTCACAGAGACAGTGCGTGTACTGTACGGTTCTCTCTGCCGTCCACGGACCCTATCGTACTGTCCACTTCAGTCAGGGCAGCGTGACCTCTGGGGAGAAATATGCTGCGGAAGGTGCGGCCACGTCGCTCAGTACCAAGAACGCTTCCAAGAGTCCTGCTCTGCTTATTTTTGCATGGGTTTGGACAGACCTTTCACAGCACTCTTTTGCTGATGCAGTTTGGGATGATTAATGTAGGTTTCAAAATCAAGTTTTCCACTCAAGCAGGTCCGTAAATCAGATTTCTCTGGACCCCCACAGCCTCGCACCCATGCCCGAGGTTCTGCCTGCCGTCCCTACACCTTGATCTGAAAAGCAACTGTGGATGTCGCCCTCGCAGGCACTAAAATTCGTCAGGAACCTCGGTGTCAGGCCACACCCAGGTTTTCCAGGGGCATTTTCCAGCGTGCATAGCTGAACCACCCTCCCTGAGATGGAATGTGGATACTGGCAAAAAAAAAAAAAAAAGGTGAAGTCCATTTTTATTTGGGAAGAAATTTTCACATTTTTCTTGATGGAAATTGCAAGGGAGGTAATGGGAAAGAAAATACACTGACAAGCAGAGAAATATCCTTAAAAAACTTCTCTGGAGGGCGGGTGGTGTGGCTCAGACTCAGGGGCTCCCTGATATTCCCCTTGCCTAGCATTCAGTTCCCAGAACCAGAATAACAGCAACAATAAAACCAAAGCAATGATTCCTGGGAGTCCACACCATGGATAGCATTTAAGAAGGAAACACACCCAGTGGATACTTACAGTTTCAGCATTAATTAAGCAACGGTATCTTTCAAAATTCTTAGAGAAGACAATTTCATATGTTTAAATAATGTGCTAATATACAGCCAGGTGAGTCTTCAGTATGAATTAAATAATATTACACACGTATGAAATAAAGCTTGGCGTACCTCTCTCCACCCGTGGAATTGCAAAGTCATCCTCACTTAAAGTATTTATAACCCACCCCTTGTTACTGTAAACTTGCAATTTTTAAACTCCACTAGTTTGAAAATAAGAACAAGAAATAAGCTTGTCCTCCATGGCAGGGCTTTCCTGGGTACTGGCGTATGGTAGTGTACACAGCAGATGGAGTCCCTGCCGTCCCGCATCTAGAGAAGGCGGGACATGAACAAGAACGAGTATCAAAGAGGAGGGTGGAAGGTTTCCACGAAAGCCTGACCCAAGCTGACCTTGGAAAGTGTGGCAGCAGAGCTGAAGGATGGGGAGGAAGGACAGAGGTGGACAAGATGTCACTTTTAGAAACAGCTCGAGTGAGAGTGGAAAGGAGTATGGGGGCTGGGGGATGGGAATGTGAGGTACAGATTGCCTCGAAGCGATGAGGGTGGGGCATAGACCTCCGAATTTTCCATGCCTTTTGGAATAAGCGAGCCTCTCAAAGTGTGCGTGTGATGGAAGCCACTGGAGCTGGCGGACTTCGGCATAACCACCTTGGCAAGGATGATTGCTGGAGTCCAGTTGCTTTGCCACTGCATGGCCTCCTACAGTGATGATGGTGGTGGGG